AACTTCACTTTTTTTTTCTTTTTTTTTGCCACTAGTGGCATTTATTTTTAAAGAAATCCAACAGAAAGGGGATGGAAAGAAGGTGGGTGGGGGAGGACATGCAACCGAGGAGCCACATAGCAGAGTTGTAGTCAAGACCACCTACCCAAGACCAAGTCAAGACCAGCACCCCGCGCTACGAGACACAAAAAAATTAAGTTTTACCTATCAAAATTGCTTCTCAAATTGATCTGAAAGATCCACATTCCCATAAAACACCTAAATATTAAATACTTAGAGCTGAAATAAATTTAACCAGTATCATTATCAACTCAAACTTTTCTTCATTCTGCTTTGCTTCCATCTCTGTGCCACAATCCGCGGAGGACTCCTGCCATCCCTAAAACATAACGCCCTGGGTGGTTGCCCATATTGCCAATGTCAGGAACCAAAACTGTCTGTGTGTTGTGTTGGTCAAATCTGTTTTTCCACTAAAAAGAGAAGGAACAACCGTGATGTACGTGTCTTATACCAGAAGGACATTGTCTCTGTTTCAAATGTTATCTCTTATTGGAATAACTTTGCCTCCAAAGTGAACTGGAAAAAAAAATAAGGTGTCTTCTGTCTAAATATTTAATTATTCAAAATAGTATCTTTTAAGGTGATCCATCGTTTTATCCCTGCAAGTTTTTCTTTCAACGTTACAAACAAGATATTGACATGAACTGTTCATTCTGCCAACCATATGAAGAAGATCTCTGTTATTTATTCTGGACATGCCATTTCTCATGTATTTTCTGGCAAAATATTTGTTTCCCAAAAAATTCTTGATGACTTTTCCCTCACTTATGTTGTTTGGATTCTTCTCCTATCCCACTAATAAAACAAACAAAAAAAAATATTTTATATTATCAACCTAATTTTATTAGTGGCAAAATATTATATGCATAGATCTAAATTCTCAAATCAGAAACCTTGCTTTTCAGCCTTTAAAGAGGAATTCAAACATTATATTAGAACTCTCCGGGATTCAAAAAGCAGAAAAGTCATTAAAACAACGGATATGTGCGCTAACTTTAACATCTTTCTGAGTTAACTTTTTGTTTATATACTTTTAGTTTTATTTGTGCTTGCTATATAACCCCATGGCTTTATTGTCTTGGCCGTTTTATTTGTTAGTGTTGATAATTTTGCTGTTTCGTAAACCCCTTTATTATCAATAAAGGGGGTGTGGGGGAAGGTAAGGAAAGGCTCTTCCAGTTCTCCCAGGACTTGGCTCTGCTCATGGTTTACCTCTGATATCGCTAGCTGGAGATCCAGTATGCAGATATTCACAAAGCAACACTTGTTTCGGACGACTTCGTTGAACATGAAAATTTCCTAGGTACACAAATCTCACAGGAGCTGCAGAAGGCGCAGAAAAGGAAAACACTGGAGAAAATATCAGTAGGCCGGTGTAATCGAAGTGCTCCCCTTTTGCTGGGTAAGTAGTTGTACCCCAAAGCTAATAAGCTAACATTGGAGGCTACTGCGCAGTCGGTATTTAGGAACGTCTGTCTATTCGCTGTAAGTTTACTTACCGATATACGCTTATGAAGGAAGCGGCTTAGTTAAATCCTGCAGCTTAGTAATAACAATTCACATGGCCAACAATTATTAGGGAGACAGGGTAAACAGTGCCCTGCAGTGAAAACAAGCTGGTTAGCATGTTGTAGCTGATCTGTGGCTAGTATGCTAGCTTACTTGATCGTCATCGTTAGTTCTGATGCTTCTCGTCAGCTTCTTGGCCAAAACAATCCACATCAAACGGGTTGAAAATCTAAGGATTGTTTCTATTTTTTCTATATAAAAACGTATCAGTTAAGTTAATTAAGTGTATGACCAGTTGCATTAAATCGATATATTAGACATATCAATTGATACAATTATAGCTGAATATGTGATTCCAATTGATATTGAGGTTAAGTGCTATAGTAATCAATGCTCACATGCTCCGCCACTTTAAATAATTATTTCAGTCGAGCTTTTAAAATACTTTCTCCACCAACTTGGTGGAAGAAATAATTGTTCACAAAGTTACAAAAATCAGCAAAAATTTTGATTTTCCATTTGTTATATTGTGTTTTATCTTGGCTTTCAAGCAATGTAGATTGTTGTCAGCTAGAGCTTAAAAGCTGTCTTTAATGTTGATTTAGTTTGGGGACTTCACACTTGAAAAACAGCTCGGGTTAGGAGAATTACACATAGGGCCAGAATGGTTACAGTAACTTTACTTTAATGAATGTAGTAATTTGAAAAGTGCTTCTAGTATTTTTTGAGGTCATCTTGTTCCCATATTAATATTTATTTCATAATCCAAAACATTCAAATGTAGAAAAAAAAAAAATCAGAAGAAACATGTAAGCTGCATGCACTTTTTAACTGTAGTGTGGGGCCCTACTCTTTTTAGAGGCTGACTGTGAAGAAATTGGAGATTAATAACAATTCACTTGGCCAACAATTATTAGACAAGTAAGTATTTTGACCACATCCTAATTTTTGTTTTATTAAAGTCTTTTATTATTTTTTATTTAAACAACACAGTACAATAAGTGGTAGGTATCTTTAGACACCTACCACACCCCTACAATTGGGATATATTACCCCAACCTGTACACATCTTATTCTCGTAAAACTACCAGTGCACGTTTCAGATCTGTGCATAAACTACAAACTACAAATACCAGATATTCAGAACTTGGAGACATGGACAGGTAAGGCAAGCTAAAACCCGACCACCACTTTACCAGAACGCAGACGTGTCCAGACTGGTAATGATGGGCAGATGATGGGCAAACATGGCCCCCTATCTTCACCTGACCTGAACCCAATTGAAAGCTTATGATCAGTAAGACAGGAATTAAGTTTACTTAAATAATAATCTGTGTAAGCCTAATTATTAAAATGCTCATGTTTACAGATGAAGTCTGAATTTTGCATCTAAAAATGGGTCTTGTTTCAGAGTTCCTTTTAATGGGAGCAAGCTATCATGCTTTTTTGCAGAACACTGCAGAGATGCCTGAGGTCCGGGACCTTTCAGAGGCCTTGCCAGAGATGTCTATGGATCCAATCACTGGAGTTGGAGTGGTGGCTTCCAGGAACAGGGCCCCATCTGGATATGATGTGGTAAACTATGAAGCATGCCTGGAACATATGAAATGATATAGAAATTTGAACAATTCTGCAAAGTGAAAAAAAAGAGTAGAAAATATTTTTCATATTTCACAGGCAAAAAAATATATATATTCTTACATGTAAATTATGATCTAGAACTGAGTGAAATGTGAACAGCCATTTTTTTTTAATCTCCAGGTGAACTTATAGAACACAAACTTTTGAGGCCTATGTGTTTGTAACTCTCCTAGCTAAGCCATTTAATGTTTTACTTTAAATAGTTAAAATTGTTCAGTGGTGGTGTTTTCTTGCAACACCTCTCAATATGATCTATATGTCTTCTAAAGATATTTGTCCTTTAGAAGAAAACAAGAAGCTGTACCACTCCAAAGATACTGTTGACTGTTTTGGCAAGCAGTTGGATGAATCATTGTCTCAGATGAGTGATTCCTCCTCTCTCCAATTTTCCTTCTCTAGATATCTATAACAACAGATGGCCTAGATGCAGACTTGTGGAAAGATGGCCTTTTCAAATCCAAGGTGACCCGTTATCTGTGTTTCACCAGAGTTTTCTCTAAAGAAAATGTAAGTCAGCTTCCTTTATCAATAAACACAAAGAAAATATTTAGCATGTATGAGCACTTTTAATCTGTCTCTCAAATCAGAAGAGTAACAGAGTTTTCAATGTCTATGGCAATACTTCTCAAATAGTGGGGCGCGAGCCCCCAGGGGTCATGGCGAAGTTTCAGGGGGATGGTGAGAAGCAGGACTTTATAATTGTCCACTAGGTGGCAGCAGTGTTCAAACTAATCAACAGCCTGCCTGTTCAAGCCAGTAGAAGTAGCCCTGCTTTAAACGGAACAGAGGAGAAAAAAAAAAAAACAAACAAAAAACGGGCAAAATGATACAAGCGCGGATCTTTTGAAGTATATCTACTGTCATAGAGGAGA